AGTGTGATAGTGGAGGACTGAGTGAGGTGGAGAGAGTGTGCGAGTGAGAGAGTGAAGGGTGGAGTGCAAGTAGGGCGTACAGGTGAAGGGAGAGTAGTACGGAAGGGATAAGGGTAGGGAAGGAAGGGAAACGAAGAAGGCAAAAGTGAGGTTAGAGTGTAGGGAGAGTAGAGAGTGGAGTGTAGGAGGAGTAGGTGGAGGGAAGAGAGTGGTCGCGGAATAGGCAAGATATAGAGGGGTGACAAGCAGAAGGATAGTGGCGCGGCAAGCGTGGAACGGCGGCAGGAGGCAGCATGATGGACAACTGGTTAGGGAGGATAGAGGGGGGGAGAAGAAACAGTATGGGAAATATTGAGGAAGCGAAAAGGAAAAGAGAGCAAATAGGAAGGGACTCGTTGGAGGGGGAGGGGGCAGAGGTGGCGTTCAAAAGAAGTAACAAAACGGTGAGATCGCCAGGAGAAGAAGAGGGGAAAGGGGAGCTGAAGGAGTTGTTGTGGGGATGGAAAGAGGAGATGAAGCGGGAGATGAGAGGGGTAAGAGAGGAAATAGGAAGGGTGGCGGAAGGACAGAAGGAGGCGATGAGGAAGGAGATAGAGAAGATGAAGGAAGAGCTGAGAGTCAGAGAAGAGAGATGGGATAGGGAGAGAGAGGAATTCAGAGAGAAGATAGAGAGGATAGAAAGAGAACTGGAAGGGCTGAAGATAGAGAAGGGAGAGGGAGGCAAGGATATAGGAAAGGTACAAGGAGAGAGAGAGGTGAGTGAAAGGATGATAAGAGGGGAACAGAAAGAGTGGATGGAGAGGGTCAGGCAGTTAGAGAAGAGATGGGAAAGAAAAGAGAGAGAGGACAGGAGAAAAAACTTGTTAGTGAAAGGATTGAAGGAGGGAGAAGGAAGTTCGAAAGAGCGAGTAGAAGAAGTACTGAGGGGATTGGGGATGGAGATTAAAATAGAGGACATAAGGAAATTAGACGTAGGAAAAAGAGAAAAGGGGGATATGGTAGTAGTAAGGGTGGGGAGTGAGGATATGAAAAGAAATATATTATTGAATAAATGGAGGCTGAAGGGTAAGGATTGGTGGATAGAGGAGGACTTAACGTGGGAGGAGAGAAGAATAAGATGGTGCATTAGACAAGTGGCGAAGAAGGAAGAGATGAAAGGGAAAAGGGTAAAGGCGGAGCAAAGAGGAGTGTGGATAGATGGGGTATGGTGGTGGTGGGATGAGGAAAGAAATGAACTAAGGGATGCAAAGGGGAGGGGATGGAAGAAAGTAGAAATGGAAGGAAGACAGAAGCAGGGGGAAGAGGAGGGAAAGGGGGGACGACGAAGGGAGAGGGGGAAGGGTAGAAGGGAGAGGAGAGATGGGGGAGTATGGGAGGGAGGGGGGAGGGAGGGAGAAGAGGGAAGGGGATGAGCGAGGCTTGGTGGAGAGAGAGAGGAATAAAAGCTATAGAGTGGCTTTTTGGAATGTGGCGGGGCTAGCCAACAAGGGGAGGGATTTCTGGGGGGGAGATAAGAAATTGGGATATAATTATAATGAGTGAGATATGGTGGGACGAACGAGGATGGGAAAAGGGCAGGGAGTTTTTGC